AAATAATAATATATATATATACACATTTAAATAATAATATATATATATATATGTAATATTATGTATATTATACTTACATTATATATTATGTATATATATATATGTTATTTAAAATTCCAGTTATTTTTGGTGCTCACCAGGCTACCAGCTTGCACTTTTCAGGAGTGCCATGGAACTGAACAGCTAAACTCACACCTGTCAAAGTTCTTTGCTGGATCTCTGGTTTCATTCTGTGCAGGCTCAATAGTTTAAGCGTTGCTGAATCTAGCCAATAACCCTGGTTAATATCCGCTATTTTTGAACCTGTTTAAACCAATTCAAAAAGTACGTCGCCTTTGCAATGAACCATTCAAACATATTCATCGAACAGAAGGGAAACACTACCCATATATCATCACCATAAAAATTGCCTAAACGGTGCCAGACATCGCACAAGTGCCCATCCATCTTCCTCCAATTCCTCAATGGATTTGAGACCCTTTTGCATGGAAACCCGACGATGGACCGCTCATGTCCATCTCTTGCAGGTCTATCACAGTCCTTGTCATTCACATGCCATCTTTGTAATTGATATCACCAATGTTAATATATAGGTATGGATCAATACCTATTAATACCATTTTTAGGGGGTTATTCACATCCATAAATCCCAGCTATTTTGATGTGAACTACAGGGGTATAAGGTTTTGACACACTGCCAATATGTTAATGTCCCTTAATATGCCATTGATATTCATATCTCTGGGGCATCCCCCTGAATCAATATGAGCCTATCTGAAAAGGAGATTACCCTCAGGTAAACGTTTACATAACGATGGAAAATCACATTTTTTCCATGGGTAAATCAACTATAAATGGCAATTTTCAATAGCTATGTTTGTATACCAGAGGGTATCTTGATAACGGCTAGTTGCATATCCCATGAATTATCCCATTCAATCCCATGATATCACCAGAACACACGGGTCAGCGCCACATTCCAAGGATATTTCTGGCTGATATTCCCATTCAATATTCAAATATACCACCAGCACCATGGGCACATTCCCATCAATATCCCAATAATATCCCATCAACACACCACTAACTACACTACCCCCATGGTCATTCCAATGATATTCCCACCATCATGCCATCGAATTGAGTTTCAATTTCAGCATGAAACCACAAAACTGTTACCATTATACTGCTATCCAAGTCTTGTTAGCTATGCATTCCATGAAATCACAGGAAATTCCCGTGAAATCACTAGTTTGTCTTGCTGAAAAACCATCATAATTTTGCTGGTTATATAAATCCCCATTGTTCACCCTTCAACCCACCATTACCCACCATTTCTCCATGTGTCCATCAGCATCACCAGCTGATCTCGCGAGGCGCTGGCGAGCCACTGACCGCTGGGACTCCAGGCCTAAGGGTGAGCAGCGTCACTGGAAGTGGAAGTGGTGACCGTTGAAATAATATAGGATATTAGATAATATAGATAATATGGTAAATATAGTTAATATAGTTAATTTAATATGGTAAATCTAGTTAATATAGTTAATAGGGTCAATATTAGTTTATATAGTTGATGTAGTGAATATAGTTAATATGGTTGAATATCTGAAATATAGTAGGACTATAGTTAATATAGGATAGTTATTGAGATATAGTTAATATAGTTAATAATTGAGATATAACCAACTGGTGATATAGTATATTGGTGATATAGTATATTGGTGATATACTATTTTTGTATATTGGTGATATACTAGGAATTAGCTGGTGTCATTGAATATTGATGATATAGAGGATATAATATATGATAGTTATCCTATATATATATATATAATTTTTTAAACAACCTATGGGGCTCATAATTGGTTATTCATGGTTAATCATGATTTAAGAGGGGACAGTGATGGTCAATAACGGGATGATAATTGGTTCATAAGGGTAACTGTGGAAAAAAACCAGTCAGAAGCCTCCCAATCGAGATTTATTATTGAGCAATGATCCTAGCAATGGGATGGTGCAAAACTGATCCCAAATGGTTGGGTAATGGGATTGTTTTTTACTGGTTTTACCGCATTGGTTGAAATACGGTATGACAGGTGTATATATATATATAATGTATATTCTATGTAGGTATTGCTACAGTGCGCACAATTAAATAGGTACTGTATATGCAGGGATTAAAATTACAAATGGCAATAGTTCTCATCACCATCCATCCCTCAACAAGAGAGTCTTGTTCAACCACGAACATTGGAACGGGGGGCACAATCTCATTTTCAAAATATGTTCATGGCATTAAACCACCCTTGCTGTAATAAATAGAGTATTCCTTGTACTTTTTGAAAAATATGCGTCATGGTCAAGTTACACGGTACAGTATATGCTGTATATTACTGTATGGTCATCCATCCCATGCCATGGGAATCCTGATATATAATGAGATGCAATGGGAATATCATGGGAAGATTATTTCTATGCATATACATGAATTATATGATATTATATGGGAATTATATGGGAATATTAGTGGGATTTAAAGATATTTAAAGGGGATGCAATGGGAATATCATATCCCGCAATGGGGAAAGAAGTCCATATGGTCCTATGGACTGATCACCATCCCCTTCGGACGCGGCTATTCATCACGCCAAGTGGCCACTTGCGTCACCGTGTTCTTGTGACCTGGGATGGCTGGGACGCCACGAGTGTTTCGATGGCAGAGTGGCTGGGACCGCTAAAATCCCAAGATGTAAATCTAATATATATATATATACGTATTTATTTACATATATATATATACATATATATATATACATATATATATAATAATCATATATATATATATCGATATTCATGTCAATATACAACATATTTTCTTTTTTTCATACACTTACCAGTACATATTACTTGGGTGTGTCTGGAAAAAGGGTATACACCCAATTGTAGCCAAATAAGAGAGAACACTGATGACAATCCATGAGAATCCAATAGATTTAGGGTTCGACTATTTTCAGAGAAACCCATTTTTGTTCAGTGGATCTTCAAGTAGTTTTAAGTATCTTTCAATGTGATTTTTCTAATGACTTTCTCATCTTGACATTTCCCAAGCAGTGGATCTCCCCAACCTTCGCCCCTGGAAGGGCGCCCCAAAAAAATGGCGGAGCCCAAGCAGCAAAAGATGGTGGTGATGGCTTCCGAAGCCCGTGGGTCCCACAACTTGATCTGCGAGTCCTGGAGAAAGGTGGGGGGGTGGGGTTCAGAAAGGGGATGGCCCCCAGAAAGTCAGAAAAACTATGGTGAAATGTGGGGTGATATGGGGAAATATGGTGAAATATGGGACATGTTGGGGTTCAAGCACCAAAAGTTTAGGCATGTTTAGGCTATTGCTATGTTTTACATCTGTATGGCGAACATGGTGGAAGAAAAGCACCGGATTTCACCAACTTAGCCGTTTTGGGGATGAAGTCCTTGGAGTGGCTGTCATCGCACATAGTGATACGCAGTGCAGATATGTGCAAATCTAGAATAGAGCATGTTCATGTAAAATACCCTCTGGTAAACAAACATAGCTATTGAACATGGCCATTTATAGTGGATTTTACCATTAAAAATGGGGATTTTCCATCGTTATGTAAATGTTTACCAGAGGGTAATTGTTGGCAAAATGGCATATACCTTGGCCTTCCGATCAATCCTGCTGGTTCAAACGGTTTGTAACGACTGTCTTGGACACCGATGAAGTACATAATGATGTACATACACATCGTTTTCTACATATCTATATTAATATAATTATATGTCACAATTATTTCAATACGATCAGGTGATATGATATATAAATATACAACATTTTTTGTATATACAATTATATATAACAAGTAAAATATCTATACTATACATATATATTTCATATACAAATATATACATATAATATATATATATATATATATCGTTTTTTTGACATCCCGCCTTGGAGCCAGTGGCCACCAAGCCCTTGGTGGGATGCCAAGCGCAACACCTTGGCACCAGCTGTTCTGGATTTTTTTCGGGTGATGGTGATTGAATATGATTTAATGACATTTAATTGGATATTAACGGGATTCGATAGAACAAGTGATTTCTTGAGATATTTTGCTGAGACGTTTAATGGTGATACGATGGGAATCGCAATGGGATGATACCATATTCTACCATGGCCATGACGAAGCGGAACCGATTGAGGATGGAGGTACCGATTCCATAGAAAAAAGGCATATTTTTTAGGCCTATGTAAGGGAATATCCCCACAAAATATGGCCAAACATATGGTACAGTAGCTCCATTTTAGGATCCTGAAATTCCCATTGAACAAACATGGGAATTTTCCACAGCTATGTTGAATTACTATTACTAGAGGGTATAGATCTCTCGCGTGTGGTTTTTTCTTTGGAAACAAAAGAGTTGCAAAAATCATCGCAAACATCTACAACGACTAATATCAACACAAACTGAACATATACAGGACACTCCTATATTTCATGGGGAAAACCATGTTTGCCGGTTAAGATTTCTCTTTCAACCAAGCCATTGAGAAATATCACCAGTGCAAACATGCCCCAGAATGACGGTGGGGACCAGCACCATTTGTAGATCATTTTCCTAGGGACACCAGTGGTGTTGCTAGTCCAATGGCTTAAGTGTTCCCAGTACACGGAGATTTACTGTGCTGGTGGCTGCTTAGGCCATTCACCTTTGTTCACCAGCGGTATTAATTAAAACGTACAAAGTGCTCGGATATCATTCCAAACCCTTCAGGTTCAACTATACTTTGAAAAATGAAAACACATATATACTTCATTCATCCCCATTTATCTTCCATTCACATTCCATTCACCCAACCGGAAACCCATCAATGGATCGGTTCAAGAGACAATCTTAACCGGAAACCATGGTCTTTTACCATCAATTATAGGGGTTTCCTGGAATCACCATTCAGGCCGAAGAACTTCACATCCCAACCGTGCCCAGTAAAGGCTCGCTCCTGCGGTTTTTTTTCAAGCAAAGCATGGTTTTGTACCAACACATAAAAATGGGATATATGTATATTATAATGGATTATAATGGTGTAATACCCCATATTTGTTGACTATATCTCAATCCGAGGTGGTATAAAACCAACTAATTGGCTAATTACAATGGATAGCTATGTATATATATATGTATAGTAGGAAGGAATTGAATCTATACAGCCAACATTAACGAACTCATGGGCATATCAATATGTAAAACATATTGGTGAAACATCAGCAGAAGTGGGATGGTCATGGTCTGATATAGACATATATAGACATGCATGACATATCCACTTGGATAAAACGTGCAACAAAAGAAACAAACCAACCATAACTCAGTCAGATGCGGAAAGCATCATCAAGGTCTTCCATATCATGGCCCGCGTTCCGTGCAGTTCACGATAAGATGGATGCTGCCCTGAGAACTGCTCGGTGCACAGCCAGCACACGGGAGAGCGACGCCACGGCCGCCGCTTTCTTTGCCTGAGCCACCTCCTCTTCTTTTAAGATGGCGGTTTGCTCATCTCTCATTGTCTGAGTAATATGTATATATATAGTTTGAATGTGGGAAGCCCAATGACATGAATCATCCCCGAATATGGGTTTATGATACTTGGTATACCCCGCTTTAACTGGTATGATGTTAGTATATATAACCCCTTTAGGGTTGGTTACTGGGAAGGTTCATTGAGGTTATTCACATGACCTACTCGTGTGGGAAACTAAGCCAACACAGACTGGAAATGGCGATAAAGAGGAAGGTTTTGACATGTTTTGACCAACATGTACAGTACAGGTAAGGAGACCGTGAATCAACTGCATGGAGGCAAAACAGGGGATGTACCCAATCCTGTCATGCTGAAACGTCATTCATTGCGTGCTGGCTTCATCCATCAGCTTTTTCAAAATCATTGGACTTGTTGGTTCATGTGGCCATTCATAAGCCATCCCTGATTTTACCAGAAATGGTTAGGATTCCATCGTCTGAAGATCGGCTAGCTCCAAAAATGTCCTGATCACCACCATCCCTCGTAGAAATGCTGTCTTGATCCGTCTTGTGCGTATACCCCCATTTTCAGACATGCCCAACTATCACATCAAGTTGGTCAACTACAATTTTCGTACTATATCCTATAAATCACCATAAAATGGTAGGTAAAACCCAAGCCCCCCTATATGTATATATATATACATACACACGTCATATCAAGTTGATATCCTGTGACATATCCACATATCCCCATTAAATGGTTGGCTATACCCATTTAAAATCTTCAAATCATTATCCCTACTATTATCCCCATCCTATCTACTGTTCATTGCTGAAATCTCTATTTTTGTTGGTTTAACTCTTTAACCCGCCTTTCCTCACCACCAAATCAGAAAAAATGGCCATCACATAGACTGCCCCGTCAGTTCGTTGCTTCTCCTCATCGCCCGTTCGCAGGTCCCAAACCTGAAGGCAAAGACACCCATCCATACATTTGTATGCAACACTAGAACTCCATGGGTATAAACACAGTTACCAGAATGGTTCTAGATATTGATATGATGTATATATTATAGTTTGTTGCTTTACTTCGTGACCTATAATTAGTCAACCTTATCACCATAAACCCAACAGGTAGCAAACCGGAACTTCAGCCGACGGGCACCACCTTGTAGGGGCTGCTACCCTCTGGTAGTCAAACGTAGCACTTGAACATCCAAAAAAAATATGTTGTTTTCATGGGACAATGACTTATAAATGGATATATAAATTATAATATTTCACTACCCTGAATTAAGGCCATTTTGGGATGATTCCCCTTACTAAATATGATTATAGTGCGGTCGCAGTGAGGTCGTTATAATTTACCCATATATATATATATATGGTGGGTTTTCCAGAGATTCCAGTTACAAACTGCCAGCACTAAACGCTGCCCTCGAGTAATGTATGGCATGAAGAAAGGGCCCCATTTCTGCCGATCCATGAATCGGTTGTCTGTTGCACGTCATAGGGCAATATTTGATGTAAGTCCCCCCAAAAGTTTGATGCAATCAGGCTTCAGAATCAGTTTCCCCAATAAGATGATGCAAAATGGCCGTTGTGGGGTACCATTCTTTCAGCATCTTTCAGCATCCATGGCATCCTTCGCGCCTTGCCTTCGCGTGGGAATCGTCCGCACAGGAGCAGAACTTTTCGCCCGTGGGGGCAATCTGGGCGCAAGGCTGGCAGATCTGCGGTTTGAAGCCACACCGACATCTTGCAATTTTCTTGCGGAGATTTGCAGGAAATTCATCTAGATGGAAGAACTAAGCATTTGTATTCTGTGTATTATATATAATTATATATATACACAGTACGTATATATATATATATATATATACATGCATATATACCTGGAGCAACCAGGGCGGCAACAATTGTTTCTGTTTGGTAAGAATATAACTTTTGGAGAGGCTCAACCGACACCGAAGTTTTTGGATTTCGGATGGTTCCAGCGCTGGTGACCCTGGTGGATTGGTGACCAAAGGATGGCCTAGAAACGACCCTCTGGAAATCAAAGCTGGCTGATTGGGAAGCGTCGTCAACGTCAAAATCCTCTAGACCTGGACAATCTTTATCAATCTTTTACCATCTGGTAATGACTAAGAGTTTGCGATTGAAAAATTGGCCCATTTAGAAATCGTTGATGTACCGAACTTAGTTCGATGGTGATGTTTTTCCATAGTTTTGGGTGTCCAGGCCGCGATGTCGCAGACGGAATCCTTGTGTCCCTGGAAGGTCTGGAAGTTGTAGATGTACTGGTCCTTGGTGATGAGATGTCTCAGCAGTGAAGTTCCGCAACTGAACTCACCATGCCGTATTTCAGAAATGTGAATGTTTTAATTACAAGTGTCTGAATGTTAGAAGTGGTAAATGGATAGGACACACTTGTCTGCATCAAAAATGGTGGTTGCACAGGGTGCAGCAACCGGCTACTAGGCACCCGAGCCCAAAGCTTGATGAAACCCAGTTGATCGCCACTCACCATCACCGACTGGGGAGAAAGCTTTGAAGCCACCGAAGTAGCTGAAACCCTGGAAATAGATATGGTATTGGTATGTTGATGTATGTTTTTACTATTGGAATCTATTGAACATGGAAGGTTTCTGCAGATTTTCCGAAACCAAGAATATCAGATTGGAATGATAACTGATTACAACCTTTGGGTTCCATAGGGGTATAGACCAAAATACAGAGTCAATCCAAAATCCAGTAGCCACTTAGAGCTTTGGATACACAAACAGTAATGCACCAAGTCATGAACATGTGATTTCAGGGTCTTGAAATGTCTTAAATATTGACATATGTCACCTGTAGAAATCAGCAAATCTTACAGGATGATACCAGAAATAGACAAACAATGACAAACATGGGATATATTGACTAGTCCCATTCCCATGGTCCCAGTCATATGTGGTTTCATCTCCAACATTTAACCATGTTGTCGTTTGGGTGCGTTTCATATGAACGGGGCAAGGGATTATATCATCACTTGTCACTTATATCTTATATACCAGTTTTTTTTGTGGTTAATAGATGATGGTTCAAACCCCATTAAATCATTCATATTATTCCTAATGACTATAAATGACTATAATAATCAATCAACATCAATCAACCATCATTTATCAGTTGTATCCACTTATCTCCCCTTATTTTGATGCTTAAAAACCTATGAAACGACTAAATCATCAACGTCTTTTGGCGTCCCCATCTTCCCCGCGGGCCAGGGCCTCATCAGGCGTCCAGCGCATGGCCTTGATTCCAGCCTCAGATTCTTAGCCCCCAGGTTTGAGGCCCATGGTTCAATGGGAATTCACTGGATTTTCTGGTGATTAATAGGGATTGAAACAACAAAAATGGGGATGTTGATGCGAATACCCTCCGGTAATCAAAGTGGGGAAATCCCAGTTTTAATTGACGCGGATTTTCCAGCCATGTTTTTGGTACCGGGGGTTCATCACATGAGATGATCATATCAAATGTTGATTTTGAATCGATTACAATTCGAATTCCATTTCTCAATGTGTCTCCCAAAATTAACGACGTATTTTGCAGGGCTCTTGCCATGGCATTTTACCAGCACCCCAAACATCATCATCATCATCATCCCAGGTACAGACACCAGCCCCAATCCGTGGTGGCGCCATCTCTGTGATGAGACCATAAAACCAATTCAGGGGGCGCCATCTGTGGTACTTTTTGTACTTGGATCATCCCACTTGGCAACTGGTTGCTAGCGGCCTAGCCACAGTTATAGAATTCATTTGGAGGTTTCCTGAAATAGTACCCCCAAATCATCCACCTTTTTTTTAGACACCTCCATTTATAAACGAGATGACCCCACTATCCCACTGAAGCTGCTAAGCACTAACCACTTGCTCTGGGATCTTCCAAGGTCGCTGAGTCCCCCAAGCGTTGTGCGCCTGCATCACATTCTCTGAGTGGAACTGCAAACCTTGGAGGAAGTCCATCAAATCAACTGCTGTGTACTGGAAGGTAACTCACAAGCTGGTTGGTGGTTTCAATCCCTCCAAAAAACATGAAAGTCAGTTGGGATGATTCTTCCCAATATATGGAAAAATAAAAGATATTCCAAACCACCAACCAGCAAGAAAGGTGTTTACTTCGGACATTGCTCGTTGCCCTTGAGGATATACGGATATACTGTATGTACCATGAAACTGATCAGCAATGAAACCAGCGAAAATGAGCGGAATTTTCTTTCATGGCCCTTTTGAACTTAATAATAATTAGTACTATTGATGAAAAACATAAACACATCTATGGAAACTTTGCAACCTCAAATCATACCACCGTTGAGCCAGGCTCACCTTTTGATATTCTTGATTCATTGACACAAAAGTGATAGCAAACTCATGTCAGAGCAGCCTTTTCAGGGAATCCTGTCAAGAATGGGGATTCCGAGCCATGACGCAATGAATCAAATCCAAAGTGTGAATTCAACACTCTAGCTTTGTGTGCGATAATTCGCTCTAACGGATGATAATTGATGGTCTATATTATAATACCGTCATATATGTCATATTATATAATATTTGAGACAAGGGTATCATCCTGTGGTTGTCGGAATGTTCCAACTTCATTCTGTTTCTAGCGGTCTCCAGTTTATAGACTGCAGGAAATTCATGCCCGAAATTGCCAATGAACCTGCTTCGAAATCCTTGAATGGAAAATAGTGATGGCAAAATCTCTTCAATCAACATCTCGCGGTCTATAATTAGTCAACAAATTTCTCGATTTGAATATCAAAAAACTACGTGCCCATAATAATTGTTTTATCATGATTTACACATGATGATATTGATCATAGTCCATAATCCCTAGTAATCCCCATGATATTTCCACACATTTCCATACGTGTTCATGCATTTCCCCTCTGAAAAATGGTGAGTTTGTCATCATTTGGTTGTTCCCTAACATAGGGCTACCCCGACCAATCATCCATTTTATTTTCGGATTTTCCCCTATAAACCATCCATTTTGGAGTCCCCCCTTGACTTAGGAAACACCATTATCACCAATTATTAACACTTTTTAACAATGATTAACCATCATTAACAATTATCAACAATTATTACATAACCATTATCAACCATCATTAACTACATATTAGCCATATCTTAGCCATATCTTAGCCATATTTTGAGGAAAACCCCATATTTAATGACAAAACGGCCCAGCACCGCGCTTTCGCCAAGGCGCCGTTCCAAATGGTCATCTCCCCTGCCAGGGTGCCCGTGAGTACCCTACGACCTGGGCAAGCTGTGTCATCCTGATGGATGCTGAAATATGGTTTGATATATATGTATATATAATATATGTACATATACTATATATATACACTATAATATATACACTGTATATATACATATATCCTATATATACTACACATATACTATATATACACACACTATATATATATATATACACTATATATGCACTATATATATATATATATACACACTATATATATATATACTATATATATACTGTATGTATATACTATATATATATACTAGATATACACACACTATATATACACACACTCTATATATATATATTATATAATATATATTATATAAATATTATATAAATATATACATAGCAATCCTCCAAAAAATAGAAGTTGCTTAACATGCTAGGAAAGGATTGATAATTTAACAATGTCTTATCTTTTTGGGGAGTTGATATAGTTAATATTGTATATATATATATCATTATATATTCATTTTAGTATATGTCGTTGGGTTGGTTTATGGGGAAATCTTAGCCCAAAGGAGCAATTGTGGGAAAACATATATACTGTATACATAGAGGGTGAACCACAAATTGATAACCGTTGATATATTCAATATCTTTATATTCTTGTATTTTACGTATACCTAAATCAAAAGAGAGATGACATCAGGAAACATTTGCACATAAACATACTGAAAATGGATGAACATGGTAGATGTTGCAATCTTTTTAGAGCCAGGCTCAACCGCAGTGCTATCGGACAAGTGGGCTGCCTTTACAACAAGTGATCATAGCCTTGACTCTGATCTAAGGCTTTTTGGGCCCCCCATTTTTGTGAGATGATTTGATTCACTACTTAACATCTCCAAAATCCGTGGGCCCCGGGCTCTGCTAAAAGATGCTCACAGTGAAAACACCACTTTTGGAGGTCAAGATGGGTCAAGATGGGTCAAGTATGCAAATGTAATTCCATGTCATCCTCCAAAAACACAAGACATATCGAAGTGGATGGCTGTTTTCCATGGCTCTTTTTTGTGGCTTTGCTCCCAGCCAAGTTGCCGTGGGGAAGCCAGGTCACCACATGGACTGGAGACCTGTGGGGATGTCACTGGTTTTGTGTCACATTGGGTCACATATGCCTCAAAATGGCCCAAATGTCGATGTACGGGTGACCTCTAACATCAGCTTCTAAGCACGTTTTCAGGTGATCAAGTACACAACTGTCCATAGCTTTATCTTGCAAAAGGTGCAGGTCCCCCCATTGTTACCTACAAAACTGCTTGATCTATGTGGCTTGAAGAATCAGAACTCCATGCACTTTATGACTAGTATATGTATACATCATCTGTTGACCTACAACCATGTCGCAAGATGATCCAAATACGGTTTTAATAGCTACAACTCTAGGATCTGATGTGCAAATTCTGGTGCATACCCCATGCTTCTCCCAAAAATCAAACATGATGCAAATAGGTTGGGTGATTTGGTCACTTCAATTGTCACCAAAAGGTATGGGTCAAAACTGATTGGCACCAAACACGCCTAACACCTTTCTCATTTGTATCCATTCATAGTGTGATTGTGACACACATATATATATATAAGTTTCATCATGTCACCATGTATCATCATTTGTATCATTGTTCCCAGCTATAAACCTCCATATATAGGTGATTTTCCCATATTTTCAAGTTAAAACCTCCATTTTGTTCGGGATTTCCCAGCCAGCCACCTGTGAAATTTCCCAGACCGTGACCGCCGAACACAGCACACTGACTCCCTTCAAAACCATCTTTTTGGGATCCGTGTGTACATGTATTTTTGACATATAATTGAGACCAATTAATGATAAGATACAGTGTATATAATACATATATCTATATATATATATATATCACAAATGCATATATATATATAGACATATATATATATATATTTATTTACAAGCTGCAAATCCAATGCTCAAATTGGGACCAGAGGCTCCGACCGATTCTTGTTCACCGCCGCATGGACGAAGCGTGGGCAAATGCCATCGTAGGGGTTTTGAGGCCTCGACCGATGCAGGGCTGGTTGGTGGTTTCAACCCCTCTGAAAAATATGAAATTCAGTTGGGATTATTATTCCCAATATATGGAAAAATAAAAAATGTTCCAAACCTTCAACCAGAGGGGAACCGTTCGCCTCGACCTTCGGATCTGGATGATTTTTTTCGCCATTTAAGCACAGAATTTAAGGAATGTTTTTGGAGTTTTTGGACCACATTTTTGGGGTTTGATGGATTTTTCAATGGATATACATAATTTTTTACATGGATTTGCCACATCAGATCAAAGAATATCTAAGACTGAAGCGAATTAACGGCACTTCTCTCACCAAACCGTAGGTGCAATCCAAATTTGTTACCCATTTCCAAGAACCCCTGGGACATTACAGAACAATTGGCTGACACTCTTTTTTAGAAAGTGTTGACTTGATTCATGCAGTCCAAGGGCAAGTGGCACGAACGGTTTTTTCATGTCTGGAATCCAAATGTAAAAAAAATCCTCACTGGGGCAAGCATTGACAGCCATCGGGACAAAGCGGAAGACAACGATGTCAACAGTGGTTCCGAGGAAACTTCTCTCCAAAACGGTCGATCTGACAACTTAGCACCTTCCTCAATGCAAAAATTCAATGCAGCAATTCGACACTCGCATTCCTGGAATGGAAGAATACTGTCTCGGGGTTGAAGAGTTTTTGCTCAGCCATTGAAAATCCCTTTTTGGACCCACCCACAAGTCCATACGGGTCATGGAAACTATCGGCCGCCAGCTGCAGTGATTGGACAGTATGGGCTGATTTATCTGTATATATATATTATATTAGTTATTAGTGGCATGTATATACAGATTAATAACATATATTACTATAACATCTGATATATGATCTGTATAGATCTGTGTATATATATAAGTATTCGTTTTAACTATCTATGATATCTATGTTATAAGATGTTATTTCCGTGCCATGGACTCGGACCTTCGGGTCCCTTCACCCGGGTCACCCGGTGCGCTTTGGGACGCCAAGTGGCATGGCAAAGGGTGGCACCAATTCTTTGGTGTAATTGTAGTGCCCTGCAGTGAGGCAGTGGGTCAAGTTCCAATTACTTCACGAATTTGAATTGCCCAAATGCAACGGTTATATGGGTAAAGCCAGCAATTTTATCAGGATACATATTAATGCATGGCATAATGGGATAGATATACCTGGAATTAGTGGGATATAACTTTTGTAACCAATCATATTCGTCGGATCTGTTGATCTTGGAGGCCCAGCACAGGAAATTTTGGGGCGAGCAAGTCATCCCGATCCTACAATTTTGCAATTGAGCATTGTTCAAAACCGGTTGCTCAAGAACGGAATTCCCAGCTCATGGATTATATCATTGCAATGAAAACAAAGTGAGCAACGCAAATGGGTTGGAAACCCTGATGAAAAATGGCCACTGGACGCTACCGGCTGTGTACAGCAAAACCACCGCAAATGCGCATGAAATGTCATAAACGGGAGCACATGCAAATATATGTACACACACACTCTAACTATATATATATATATAATCACTTAAATATAATCATATATTTATAATCATATATATTTATAATCATATATATATATATAATTAAACATGTATGCATATGTATATATATATATATGTATGTATATATATATATATTTACATACACACCTATAATCATATATATATATATAGATACTATACACATAAACTATCATCGAACTGCATGACCAAGTCCCAGATCAACTTGTATCGCTATCTCTGCCGTTTCATCTGCTCCAAACGCTGCTCGATGAAAAAGGTCCATGTCCGTGCGCTGTCACCCTAGGGTGCCCGTGCGCTGAAAGCGCCGCCGCTTCTGGCGACTCAAACAATCCTGGATCGGGGACCGTGGTGATCCGGACATTTGGAACTGGGGATAACCGGTGTCTAGTCAGTCTAAATTCCATCCTAAAGTGGAGCTACTGTACCATATTTCAGGCCATATTTGGGAGGTATATGCTCTGAAAAAAATCCCTTAGACCTGGTACGTCCTGGTACCAGTTGATTTAGGTTCTGGGTCCGGAAACATTTGGCAGCAGATTCCAGAGGGTCATGTGAGTAGAAATCTGGTTGAGTCCTCCCAGTGTGATCACCATATTCAATCGAAACTGAACATTTGGATGGTGATTTCAATCCATCATAAGGAATATTAGTCATTGGGAATCATCGTTTCATGTCTATGCTGAACTTGAACACCAAAATGTTTGAAACCTCCAAAACGTGTGTGTATATATATATATTCCCTTAATGGGTTATATGAGCAGTACACACACACACATATATATATATATATGGCGGTTGATCTAAATTCCTTTATCTGCAAACGGCCAATTCTTCGCGAATAAAAAAACCTTTCGCGAGCTCCATGTTTATCCTTCGCGGAACCCATGTTGAGCAACAAATCCTATTATGAAGATTCATCACCGACATTACCTGCCAAATCACACCAAATTCTTACGGATAACTTCTTCATAGCCTTGTAAACATGCAGCTCGCATGCCGGAATCCACTTCTCAGGACAGGTTGTTGCTGATTAGGCAACTTTTGTTGCAAGGCTTACTGGGCCACTCCCTTCCAAATGCGCTTTGACTTGCGCCCGCTCCTTCGCAGAACTTTCATGGAAATTTCGCGAAAATACCCCTATCTGCAGACCCCATCAGCAGGGGGCGTATCAGAGGCAAAGCAAGGGGCCTTGGTGCTTGGCTCTTGCAAAGCCTCACTTTTGGAAGCTTGGCTGCTGCATGTGAAGCTTGTTTCTTGAGACTTCAGAAAGCAACGTTAGGCGGTACCAGCGGCAGGTGCAAGGATGTGCTTCAAGACCATGGTATTTGGCTGTGGCGACGCCTCACCTTCGGAAGCTTGGCTGCTACCTATGAAGGGAAAGGTAAATGTGCGGTACCATTGCCGGACCCCCGGACGGCAGGAGGTGGTAGCTCTTAACAAGCTGTGATGTATATACAATGATAATGATTCATAATATCCAACTTTCCCGAAACTTTCGCGAAAAAAACAACTTTCTCGAACTCGCAAAAAAAATCGCGAGGGTTCCCAGCAGAATATAAACGGTCTTCGCAATTAAAACTCTTTATAAGCATAGATCGATCACCATATATATATAATTTTCCATAACTACGCATAGTCATATATTGTATACATATATCATGTACATTCATGTACCATTGTTATATATATATAAATCGCATTCAATCATTATAGTGTATTATAGGTTATATATACCCTTAAATTCATAATGTATGATCCAAATATAGGTATAGGTTGTATATCCCATGGTTTTCCCCTATGGGAAAAACAACCCATAACTTCCAGCCATTCCGCCTCCAGCCATCGCACGTAGTCCGACCCATAATCCACCTGCGCATCGGTGGCTGGCTCGGAAATCCATCATAAATGTAGTTTTTTAATGGAGAAAATCATCCAACGAACAATTAAAAGGACATCACGATTAAGATCTGTCAGTCTGTACTGTTGAAATTAGAGCATAAATATGGGATATTATGGGTGTATGATTTCATAACCTGACATTGAGCTATATAAAACTTACGGCCATTTGGGGATGATTCCCTTCACTAATCATCATTCCAGTGACGGAAAACGATATGAGGTCACAACGTAAATCATCCCGAACAGTGCCAAAAGAATGCCCAAAATCGCCGTGTCTTCCAAGTTCAAAGTGATTTTAACATAATTTAACTATCTTTCCCAAATCATGAAAGTAGCCCATCGAAAAATCATCCAAGCCATGGATGACCATTGATTTTAGCGGTGCCCAGGGTGGGGATCCCCGTGGAACAGCTGGGTCCGTGTCGCACCGTACGCTTGGTAAAGCGCCGCAGCGGATCGTCCAAGCCTTTGCCCTGAGGCTGCGGATCGACCAGACGTTTCAACAGGAAATCCCCAAGAACTCAATACATCACAGTTATTTTTTCAAACATAATACCGTACCCTGAATACCCTCTGGTTATATATAACCGTCTGAGAACTGGAAGATATCACCAGTTTTCATTTTTTTTGGGGGAAATCACCGATAAATGGGTCATTTTCATCCATATGTTACATTACCAAATGGTAAACAGTTGCCAACAACCAGTGAAGCAGTGGAACTTCCACCAGAATTTTGACATAGAGCCTGCTGGAGCCTCACCTAACAGCTGGCCTATAGCCAGAAATCATGACAAGTTTCACGAGTTGTTTTGGTGATATCAAACATTTCAAGCCATTATATTTGTAACAAATAATTCAACAATCAATAACATATTAAGATAATAGCACATAGCACCAATAATGAGGACTACCCTCCAGTTCTCACACGTGGCGTGCTGGAAAATCAGCCATTTAGTTTGATGATTTGGCAATTAAACATGGTGATTTTCCATAGATTATGTTAGCTTACTGGACCAGCACCATCAAAATAATAGGTAAATCACCATTTGAACTAGCATAAGTATGGTGATTTTGGGATAATTTTCCATATGGTAATGGATGGTGTTATGTTGTGTTATGTTGTGTTATGTTGTGTTATGTTGTGTAATGAAATATCACCATGTCTATTGTTATATTAATGATAATTTCTAGATATGGCAACATTTCCATGATGATGTTTAGGCTGTTTAGTGATTTGGGAGATCTAAAATCCAGACCGAAAAGAGCCGCCTTGCCCTTGGTGTAGAGCACCAACTCGTGGCTCATCCTGGTGGGATAAGTCTGAAGTAAATAGAATATTGCATGTTCAATACATATATACATATATAACAAATAATTATTATATATACATAACTATGTATATCCTTCCATGTTCTATCTATTCCAGTGTGACTTTAAATTTTGATATATATATATATGATATATGTCAGATTATCTGGGGATATTCCAGATAGAACTGGGGTTTTCAACATGGTTATTACCCACTGACTGGACATTGCCCCTACCTACTGTACCCTACTGAACAAGCGATTGGGCGAACTTACGTACCAAACTGATTGGGTAAACCATTCGCGTATCACATGATCTGAATGGGGCTGAATCCCATTGAATACCAATATGTACCATGGAATATTGGAAAAATATAGAAGCCGTAACATCTTTCATATAATGAGGGTATACCTCAACATACCTCATTTACTAAAGGATGGGTCATGTCATAAATCTTTCTATATCTTTTATGGCGGCTTCCAAGGGAATTTCAGGACAGTCGCATGCTTCTCTCCGTTGAGTTTGCCGATGTCCATATGGAATTGTTACTTTGTATTCTCCACCACTCATAATTTGATATGCATATGCACAATAATATTATATATATATGTATAAATACATTATTTTTCAGATTTTTATATATGGATAATCTGGTAAAGCTACTGCCTTTATCGCTATCATGCCTGGGCACCCAGCAATCACTGGACCCTGCGGCACCTCGCGATCGCTCGCTAGGGAGTTGAAGCCATTCCGAAGCGCGAAACGATCAGCCTGGAGTCTAGCGCCTGAGTTTGCCTCTGCACAAAAGATCCGACAACTAAATTATTATTGTGGGTAATCTGGATAATTCATATAATTAAGACTATAACTATAAATACTCATATATGGTACTAAGTGTATATGCACAACTATGTGCTGTTGTTGTATCATGTTGCATCTATCTATTACATGTACGTAGGATTGCAAAATGTCGTTGCATGACGATATTTCTGGAACATCTGGGAACTCCGAAACATACATGACTCCACCGTCAGCGTTGCAACATGTGGTGGCCTCTTTGACAACTTGGGAATATCCCAAAAAGACAAGAAGAACTGATTTGCTGTAAATTGGGATACGCAAGCTACGGCAATTCTACTGGGAAAATCATCATGAAGCTTGGGATTTCGGGAATATACCAAAGCCAAATCATCAATGTATCCCATATTTAGCGACTTACTGACTGTCGGTAAATATATGTCCTCTTTGACTGGGATTCTACACGGCAGGAACTGACCTCTTTTGCGGGTTATTTCAGTACTTTGTTTTGGAACCATGGCCACGTGGCATTCATAAGCCTGAACTGTACAGCTGCAGTGTCGAAAGCTTCCAAAGGAAACTGTCGTCCATGAACGATGGAACAGCGTTCATAACCAGATTAAACAATCGGGAATGCAGCTACCACCAATGTGAGCAAACTAAACTGACAATGACAATCATTTTAAAATTCAAAGAACATGAATTGTGTGTGTTATTTTTTTTACAAACACTATGCGTATACACATTTATAATAATGGATTCATATTATCATTAAATGAGGAACCATGATAGCATTGAAATGGGAACATGCTTATTATATAAGAATGTTTAAACAAAAACAAGTAATTGTCATTTGGTTTACTATTCTATCTCGTTATATCATTTTAGATCCCATATTGTACCACTATACCCCACAATACATATATATATATATATCATCCCATTCTACGCCACAGGGGCGTCCTGCAAAACCCCCCCAGGTCGGCTGAGAAAATGATCGATGGACCATGGATTGCCATAGCTATGGAAAATCAAACCAAAATCATCATGGAATCATCTATAGATGGGCCGTTTTGAAATACCTTCTGGTAAACTAACAGTTTGCTATTGAACATGGCCATAGAAATAGTGGATTTTACCCATAAAAAATGGGAATTTTCCATAGTTATGTTAGTTTACCAGAGGGTAGCTTTGCAAAATATTGCGAAATGACCAGAAAGCCCAGAAGCTCCGAAAACCATGCCGCCATTCTTGACACAGACTGACCCTTTGAGGAAGTACCAACATGTTCTTTGGGAAACGCTTTCATTCATCATGTTTCTTTGGACCACTTTGAGGTGCTTCACACTATCACCCTGTGCCGATACAGAACATCTTACAAGTCTCTTGGACCACACCAGTTGATGTTCACTAAACTCATGTCAACTTCCAAAATCCAAACTGATTTGCGGCTTCCATATATGTGTTGCGCATCTGGATCACATCGACATGGTGATTTCACCATCTGGCATTGAAGCGTCACCATTTCCATCCGCTTTGTACATCCTTTTTGAATATACAAGCACTAAAGGCAAACCGTCATTTAATGTCATGCATATATATATAATTATATATATACATATTAATATTATATATATATATATACATATCTATATTAATTTATCATTTTTGGCTCCATGTTGGAGGATACTCCATTTCTTGATTTCGTTGACATCGAATCGCCAAGCGTTGGTCTCGGCGCGGGCGCCCGCAGCCTCCGAAGAAATTCCAGGTGGTTCGATGTGGATCCCTCAAGACCAAAGGTTTCAATACTGGTTAATGATGGTTGATAAATGGTTAGTGATGGTTAGTGATTGTTAATAAATGGTTACCCTCTGGTAATTTAACATAGCTATTGAAAATCACTATTTTTAATGGGAAAATCCACTATTAATGGTCATTTTCAATAGCTATGTTAAATTACCAGAGGGTAATAATGGTTGGTAAATGGTTAGTGATGGTTAATGATTGTTAATAAATGGTTTATATATGGTTAATATATATGGTTAATGATGGTTACCCTCTGGTAAACTAACATAGCGAACTGGAAAATGGTCCATCTATAGATGATAAACATCATGATTTATCTCTTATGATAGGGCCTGATAGGGGAGATACCCTCTGGTAAACATACAACAAACTATGGAAAATCACCATCTTTAAGTTCGGTAAATCAAGGAACTAAATGGTCATTTTCAATAGCAAACTGTTCAATTATCAGAGGGTAACTTTGGATGTTTTCGGGGATACCCCCATGACTTAGGCCTAAACTTTGGGTCGATAAGATGTGCCAAAGCTGTGGTGAGGCAAAACCGGTGTGGCATTTTCCAGATGGTCTTTATAGTCCATTCATGGTCATTTTGGGGATGGTTTATTTTCATAGGGGTTTACTATGGTTTACCACATCACCATAAATTCGTCGAACTAACATGGCAAGCTGGGAAATCACCAGACTAAATGGCAATTTAAACAATATACACATATATATATATATATATATGGGAAAATCATGGAACGAAATGGATCGAAATGGGTGATTTTCTAGCAAACCATGTTTGACAGTGGGTCCTCTAAATTTTAATTGAAACCAGCAAGCATTTTTCTAGAGCTGAAAAGGGGCTCCCCTAAATGTCCACCACAAGGGTCCAGGTCTGGGCAATCATCAAACCCCATGGGAATCAGCTTCCAAGTGAACCATGATATCCTACCGTATCATGGAAGTTGTTTAATGGGTTCTATCCTACCAGTATATCGTACAGCAACCATTAATCGTATCCACATAATACGGTTGATTTATGTTAACTTTATATCCTGATGTTGCAAAACAATCTACCCCCAATTTCATCAGAAAGGTACAAACCATCCAGTAATATCCCCAACTGGATGTTTAATTATCGGCTGTGTAAAATTATGTTGTTCTATATTTCTATAGTGTTTTATATCATCTATGGCCCCCTAAACGGGCAACCCCCCATGCTTCAACATTACTCCATCAATATGGCTATGAGTCAAAATTCTGGCACCCTAGATACCCTAGAATAGCTGGTTTATGGATGGTTATTCATCCAAATATGGTAATAAAAGGTTTTGACCCATCGCCATATCTGAGTTTGAGGCTAAAATCCTATGATAGTCCCCTACTGGATGGGCCCAGTTGTAAGTTGGTTTATACACCATTATAACCCCCCATGAATACAGTTCGCTATATTAACCATAAACCAAAGAATTCAACCACTTTTTTCAGGCAACTGAACGTTATCTTGGGGGCCCCATCCCCTGGTAACCATCATTCGTTTCGCATCAGCCTTGCAGGGTCACTTTTTTTCCACAGCACTGGCCAGGCAGTCGGACGCAAACGTCAGCCGTAGCGGTGAAGAACAATGGATTGCTGACCCGCGTTGTGTCCGTCAAATTGGGTGAGTTTCAGTACTGTATCAATATCATAACATATCACCACATATGTCATAACTTATGGTAAATCCACGGTAGACCATATATATGTATATATAGTTATATATATATGTAATTATATATATAGTTATATATATATAGTTGTACATATACAATATATATATATAATCAATAATCTATGGCACATCCCACATCACATATTTTTTCAGCGGAGAATCTATGGTCCCATCCGCCTCTTGGAGGGCCATGAAGCCATAGAAAAGGCGCAAAGAGGTGAAGGCCAGGTGAAGGCTGTTCAAAAACAGGGCTGGTTGCAGTACATGACTGGTTGGTGGTTGTTTCAACCCTCTGAAAAATATGACTTCGTCAGTTGGGATGACGACATTCCCAATATATGGAAACATAAAATTCATGTTCCAAACCACCAACCAGTGATTATTAACCATTATTAACCATCATTAACCAAACCACCCAAACACCCACCAGACGATCAATTGTGGACATCTTAGCTAACATGGTAGTACTGCAACCACCCATGGAAAGATAACCTGCAACCACTCATGGTAGTACTGGAACATGTGCCTAACTTGTACTGGTAACCTGCAAAGAGAAAACCTTTTCCGGCATATGGATGCATATGGTAGTTATATACATATAGTTACATGCCTCTGCATACCAAAAAATGAATATAATTGCCCCAATTCGCCAACTAATCACTCAGTTTCACCCAGACTCAAAAATAAATTCCTTTCGATTCTAAACATTTCTAACAATTTCTAACCGTCATGCGGTTGGGAAATTCTTACCAGCCAATTGGCTCCTCGTTTCTTTATTGGGAATACGGGTTCAACCATGGCTCCAAACTGCTCCCTCCATCCTTCACTGGAACGCCAAATGGTTGTTGGACCCAATCTTGACGGCGACTAAGGGTCTAGGAAATGTTTGTTTGGACAGTTGTGGATTGTTTTGCGGCTGCGATGAGTGCAATCCTAAGAAATGATGCGGTTGTGCCAAGTCTAAAACATATCACAGATCATCACAGATCAACAAATCACGCATTGCGACTTGATTGCAACCCCAAAAAAATATTGATAGAAGATAACAAAATGTAGCTTCAAACAAACATGTTTTTGACTTTTCATGACAATTCAATTTTTTCGAGGGGCATCATACATCACATGGACAGTGTTTTTGAGTCACTTCGCACACGCAACTTCCTCCCCGTCCGATCTTCGAACGCGCTGATGCAACTGATGGGGGGTTTCCAACCGCTGATCTAATGTGGAAATGGAAAACAAATGGCTACCAGTAGTACCGCACAAGGCGGTGGCGGAAGTTTCAAAAATAGGAAACCTATAGGAGACGTTGGTTGTTGTGAATCACGGATGGCAGAGCGAATCCACTGATTGACCGAAAAGTGGTTGGAGTTGTGTTTGCTGGAGTGGTTGCAATGGTTGCAGTGGTCACCTCACCCACAACTGCTGGATGTAGCGTGATGTACTGCAACTGTAGTTGTAGTTGTAGCGTAGTGGAGTTGTAGTTGTGGTG